AAAAAAAAGCCATTACTATTTTCYCGCTACAAAGTTGGAAACCCAARYAAGGCAATARTGTTCAAGGTTTTAAAGGTAAAATTGTTTCCATTGTCCAAAGAAGAAAACAGTAAATGACAAAAAGAACAAATAGATATATTTTCTTGGATTTTGTACTGCCCCTCTTTTTTCTGTCTATACGTCCCAAAATTTAACATTTAGGCTCTAATGCAARCCAATACTGACATACACAAGTCATACCAATAAGAAAAGTAAGCAGACTTTTCCTCAMAGCTGTAATTGCTTACTTGACAGGAGTTACTGCTTAATGTACCCAGCTCTCTATGAACACAGACACCCATTTCTTACCATAATTCAAACAAGGTTCTAACACAAATAAAGTTAAATTGCCCATATTGCCCTTCATGCAGTAATTTTATATGGATGAGCTGTCATTTTAAATTTGACTGAAAATAACTGTAGATACTTTAACTGGATTAAAAAGAARAACTAAGCCACTTCTCCTTAATAAAGCCAATTACTGAGCAGCAGGGATCCACTTCATCATCAATTAATCTATTCAATGTGATCACCACCTAACACATGTAGAAGGAGGGCTGCATTTGAAGTACCTTAATTAACTCAATGCATAACAAACAAATCAGGTGAAATTCATAACTCCTCTTCTTGTTTCATGAGACACTTGAAATAGGAAACTTTGTTTTCAGAAATAAATGCATCTTTGGTATGAAAACACRTTTGACATTTTTCTTCTTASARAAAGGGATTTWTTTCTTTAAAAAAAGAARTAACACCCATGTATTGAGAGATCAACCAACTACGGGGGGGGTCAAATAGTTTGCAGGACACACATGGCCTTCCTAAATAATCATGATCTACAAAGCATCTAGAGCCCCAACAACGACAAAAATCTGCCAACGAACATTTTATCTCAKCTGTCCTGCAAACAAATAAAACTGGTCTAAGTATTTAATGCACCTATAAAGTGAGCTATTCATAAATAAATGCCCAAAAACTTTAACACACTTTGCAACTACAAATACGCTTGCATCTATAACATTTCCACAAAAAGAACAAAATGTGAGCCCCCAGAAGACCAAGTGCTTTTTCCTCTGCTGTTTACAGCAGTTGCTCTGGTGCCTTTGAAAACAAACYCTGTTCCCAGAAGTAATCTCCACACCAGGAATTCAGACCCAGCAGCTCCCGGCACATGGGAACACAGGGCCAGAGGCTGCCAGGATGGCGAGGCTGGATAGGGACAACCCAAATGAAAGCCACTCTGGAAGGTGATGCACACCTGGGCTCCCATGCCAAAGTGTCAGGTCCTCTCTGATGAGACAGGCAGAAATACAGGCTCTTAAATGTCAGTGTAAAGTAAGTGTAACCTTTCTCCAAAGAAAGGAACCTGGAATTCCCTGTCTCCTGAACTTTACACTGTTTCTAGCTCAGAACAGGACACTAGAGTTAAGGTCAAGGTAGCATAATGCACATGAGTAATTAAAAATAATACCTCTTTGGAAAGGGTTGGGAGAGTTTTTTTCTGCTTACTTTTGTTTGGTGTGGTTTTGTATTTGTTTGGGGTTTTTTAACAGACTGGGAAAAATCTTTAATACGATGCTTAATTCACACACTAATGGAATTATGGAAATGAGACTATCAAACACTCAGCCAAAGATAACAAGGAACAAAGAGGCTGGCTTCTGAAAGTGAAAACCACTCTTCTCCAGTCTATTAGATTAGCCTGAGACAGTCAACAAGACAGTAATTACAGAAAGCGACGTGATGAATAGCATTTATATGGTCTACCAAAAAGTCTTTATTAAAAGTCCCAGACAGCAAGTTAAAGAAACTCCTGTAGACATTAAGTAGCTTTGAGGCAGAAATCCAAGGCCAGGGCTAGACACCAGCTGACAAAGGAAACCCAGTGTGTCCTCACATTACCAGGCTTCAGCAAGCTCATTTTGTAAAACCTTTGYCTTCAGTGAGGTGGGGGCCAAAGAGAACAGAGGCCAGCCACACCTGGACATGCCATGAACAAACTGAGAAACAGATGTGCAGCTCTGCACTTAGCAGGCATCAGTCTCACAACATGAGTCATTTTCAATGAACTTAACACATATTTCCACTGAAAATCTGCTTGATAACATAAGAGGTGGAGAAAGAGAAAAGAGAGCAATTAACAAAGGTTTATTATTCCTCTAAAAGACCACAGAGGTCCTAACACTTATGTTCCTGCACACTCTTACCTGTGGAAGGGCACTTAAAGGCAGGATTGTCCTCTGCTGCTGGCACACCGGGAACCTTGCAGGCAAACTTCTGCCGGTGCTGCTGCGTGTGCTCCCCGGGATGTGYGGCATCCGCCGGGCTCCCCTCACCGGCCTGCGCCATCCAGCCGCTCCCCGCGCTGTCCATGGAGCGTGTGGGGCCCTCCTGGGGATTTGGGGCCATCCCAGAGTCACCCCCATGGTGGGCTTTGTACCGAACTGAGGGGGAGCCCACAGCAACAAGGCTATTCACAGCAGAAGGGGGGACCCCGGGAAGGTCGGGCTCATCATCTTCAGGGATCGGGTTGTACCATATTTCTCCTTCATCATCGGCGTCGCCATCCTCGCCGCAGTCCAGGCCCCTGAGCGCGGCRGGGCTCGGCAGGGCACAGCTCCGCRCCGCCGCCGCTGTGGAGGGAGCCCAGGGCACGGCGGGCTCGGGCAGCGGGATGGGAGACCTGGGTACCGGGGTGACAGCCCCGGGCACTTCCTTACAGGCATCTTCTTCTTCCAGAGGAGGAGGAGGGCGTCGGTGGGTGCTCTGCTGCAGCCAGCTGCGTTTCTTGGAAACGGTTATGCTGTTCACCTGCGGCCTGTGCTCGGGCACCTCGCTGGCCTGGGGGCATGGGGGCTCCTTCCTGCTTCTCGAAGCTATGTAAACATTTTCTATGAAATCTGTTCCCAGAAAGGAAGGCAAAAAGAGAGGTAAAGATAAATGTTTAGAATACAGTTTTGCTTTTGAAAGATGAACACATTTGCTGTCGTATAACACTTGCATTAGACCTCATTCGAAAGGACAAAAGTTAAGTTGATATGATCACAAAATTAGATTTCAGCCTGTCAAAGCAGCATGTGCAYGTAACTAATAAAGAGTCAGGCTTGTTTGGCTTTATTTTTAACACCATGTAATTTAGATAAATGGCAGTGAGATAGCTCTGCTGAAAGGTCATGCATATTTACACAGAAATTGCTGCTTTTTTCTGCCAAGTTCAGGTGCAATTGGTTTGAAAAGTTACCCCACAGTACTTCTACAGTTTAGTTAAGACAGTGAAGAAACAGTCCTTACTTTTGGTAGGTAATGTACTGTTTTAATGGCTATATAACYCCCACATACATTCATTTCTAGACTTCTATATAAATAAAGGTGAGAATAAGCCTTGCACAAAAACCTCCAGAAAGAACTGTCCTTACCTGCTTTATCCTATAATTCAGAAGCATCCCCTGATTTGGGGGGAATAGAACAAAACACACCATCATGAAAAGAAMGAAGGAGAAAGAAGAAATGTAGAGAAGGTTTTAAACAACAAAAATTTCATTCAACAAGTAAACAAATTCCACTGACTGCTCCCAAGACTTGCCACAGTTTCATTGAAGCAACAAATATTTAATTGTCCATCGAAAGCACCACGCACACCTGAGCTCCCTGTCAGGGCACATCCATGCTCAACTCCAAGCAGCAGTGCCACACCCCCCCTGGCTGCAGCACATCCCGGCAGGGAGCTGCAACCACTGGAACGACTGGGAGGAAAGCTGCAAATACATCCAGATTAAAAACAGGGAGCAGGTCAGATAACCGTCATGCTGCTCTGCACTGGAGGACAACTCAAACAGGGCTTGCTCAGCCACTGAGGTTGAATGGGGATAACTGGGTTCATGTAAAACAGACAACCTATTTTCACAGGAAGCCCGCTGCAATTGGAAATTCCAGATGGAAGCAGCTATTCATTAGTGCTTGAACATTRTTCTCAGAAAAGAATTATTTACACACCAATAATGGATGTTAAAATATGGACACCTCTCTGGAGGACTCAAGGAGCAGCTCTGTAAATCCAGTCAAGTTTGCTGTAGAAAGGGAGACATGAAAAACACTCATTTGAACACCTTCCCTTCGACCTCTTTTTAGGTTTGTACTTTAATGATAAAAGAGATCCTCGATAAGATCTGAAACACCACCATTTTCTTTGATGAAGGATTCATCTTTTGGTGATTTTTCAAAAGAATACAGTTTGCTTGTTCAGCTAAACTGCAGTATAATCACTGTTTGTGATTTGAAGAATTAACAAAATTAACCATGCTCCTTTTGAAGCCTTTGAACATCTCCATTGAAGTGCTTTGCTACACTGGGGCCTAAGCCGGTCAGGTAACAGAATCTGAGGAAAACGTGAATGCAGATCTCWGTCAAAATTTCAATGATTTGGCAGCAATCATATTCCTTCTCCCACCCACAGCCTAGAAATGCAAGCATGACATYGTAATGGTTTTTCCTTACACACTGTCATGCTACAATTTCAAGTAAAAACTAAACAAAACCATAGGAAACTAATCTGCAGTGGGCATAGGGCTATGCCWATGTTTCCAGTATGTCTATTTGGATCAGGGACTTGTCGGGCAGGCATCCTCCTGCCGGTGACAACTATYCCCAAGTCCTTGCTTCAGTCCAAGAATGGTCCCCGCAGCCGTGACATAAATAGACGGAGCATCCGAGAGCTGTACTTCCACAAACAAAAATATCTGCTACTTCCTGCTTTGCTGTAAAAACATAGGKCCTTCTGCACTGGTTAAGGCGGCCTACAACTCCCAAATCAATGGGCTCCTAAGAAGTACCTATGTGCCTAAACATACACCCAGTGACACATCTAGGGTCAGCCTCTGGCTGTCCTTCAGTCCCAGAAGCAAAACACTCAACTTTGCTTTCAGCATCCGCCCAGCTATCTCGACACCGAGCCATCCGCAAAAGCTTAGTGCAGAAACATCAATAACCACGATCCTCCAGCCTCCTGSACCAAGGCTGCTTGCAGGGACTCAMCACCTTCCACAGGATTCYACGACCCCAGCTCTGATCAGCCAACACGCTGCCAGAGGTCATCGACTGGAAATGTTCACTGAAACTCGTCCAAATGATACACATACATCTCCCAACTGCAGTTTCTGCAATTCTAGCAGTATTTGCAAGCATTGCTTCCCCTTTATTCGAACTTGGCCCTGATCCTGAAAGCSCTTATGCCTGTGTTTATTTTAGTAACAAACTGCTTCACATGCAAGTATCTGCACAACCAGTGGTTCGATATCACAGAGCAAGTTTTCAATGCTATTAGCTGWTACAGGAATGAGCCAATTTTAAATAAATCCAAAGCTTTAAGAGACATATCGGTCAGCAATATAGTTTTGGAAAGTTTAATTCAGAAAAATGCTGCCTACTATTAGCATTTTAACTTATGTATTTAATATTAAATATAGTTAAGACCATGTCTCCATGCAAATAATGAACATGACAACAGTTCCTTCTCAAAAGGCTTCAATATGGTGTTCAAGAAGGAAAACAAAAGTCAGTATTCCCTTCGCCGTTCACTTTAYCAGCAAAAAATTAAATAAATCAGTATTTTACGTTAAGCCAGGATAGTAACAACACGTGTATGCTCAGAAATCAAAGCTTCAATGTTTCAACTCAACTGAGGTCAAAACTGACATTCTGCCAACTCCGTGGGCACAGAAAATACTTCACCACGATCCCATGCCTCGCTTTGCAGATTGCATGGAAGCAGGGAACAGCTTTTTCCAGCCTCTCCATATATGGATCAAACAATTCACATTTCTTCTGGCTGATATTTAAACACGTTCTCTTTCACGAAGTTTCCTAACAAAAGCACAAAATTTAACTATATTYAAATGGAACAAAGGCAAAACTGAAAATTGATCTGTGAGATTTCGAGTGCATCTTTAAAAAGCGAACAAACCAACCGACCCCACCGGGCTGGGGCAAACAGCAGCCGCGGAGTGACAAGCGGATGTGGGACAAGAGAAGGAGCAGGGACRCGCACACAGCGCTGGTCTGAGCCCCAGCAGCTCTCGCTTTCRCGAACTCCCGCTCGCAGAAGCAGCGCAGGTACCGATGGCACGCTGCCGCCGCTGAGCACTGCTGATTCGAGAGCCAAGCTCACGCCCGGCCCCGGCGCGGCGCTCCGGGCAGCGGGCACGGAGCATCCCGGAGCCGCGGTAGCCCCGGCCCGACGCTGCCCGGCAGGTGGAGGAGCGGCCGCGGGCGGGCGGCCGAAGCCCCGCGGCCGAGCCAGGCGCACACTTACCCTGCGGAGCGCAGACCCCGCCGTGGCGGTGCCCGGCGCCCGCCGCCGCGCCTCGCTGGGACCTTCTGCCCCGCAACTTGGAGAGCGTCCTGCGGAGCGGGTCGGCCATGCCTGGCGCTGGCGCTGCCTCCGCGCCGCGCTCAG